AGAGAGATGGAAAGAGATAAAATACTTAATTAGGAAAGAGAGACAAGATAGATAGAAAGAAAGATTAAAGAAATGAATAAACACAACATAATATATCTATAAGTCTTGTGGATGTAGGTGAGTGTGAAAATAGGAGAGTGAGTGTGTGTGTGTGTGTCTCCCAGTGTGTGTAAATATGTGTGTCTCCCAGTGTGTGTAAATATGTGTGTCTGCCAGTGTGTGTGCGTCTGCTAGTGTGTGTGTGTGTGCATCTCCCAGTGTGTAAGTGTGTGACTCCCAGTGCATGTGTATGTGTGTGCGTCTGTCAGTGTGTGTGTGAGCCACCTGTTTGCGGAACTGCTCCTCCTCCTCCTTCTCTGCCTCCACCCTGAGAGCCTTGTAGTGCATCTGCTGAGCGTGGGTCATCTGCATCTCGATCTTCTGCCTCATCTGGCGCTCCAGCTCCGCCTGCCCAGCAAATAGGTCACGAATAAATCATAATAATAATAAATAACAATAAAAGAAAATAGTAAATAAATTGTAATAAATAAAAGATAAAAAAAGAAAATAGTTAATACTTGCGATGAATAATTACAATTTAAAAAATAATAATAGTTATTATAAAAGAAAAAATAATTAATAATGAATAAATCATAATAAGAAATAATACTAAATAAATAACAATAAAAGAAAATAGTAAATAAATAATCATACCAGGGAGGTGACGAGATCAATCTCAAAAACACATTGGGCAATACGCCTATTGATGTCATTATTCATAAAATATACATGCACATAAGTAAATATATATATATATATATATATATATACTATTAAGGTCAACGTCATACTCACACTGTGTATCTACCAATCAGCTCAATAGCTTTCTTTGTCTCAAATTATATTTTTCATCAACTCTAAAATAATTACAATTGGTCATACTACCTTACGTAAACAAAGACATGGAATGAAATTCTCCCACAATTCTGGCTGATAATAACATGAGAGAAATCACATTTTTACCCCTACTTTTCTGAGAATCAACGTTTACATAGAAATATGATAAAAGAAGGACACATTATATTTCTTTCCTACTCTCCCCGCCACATTAGAAAGAACATCTAGAAGCAATATACATGATACATATATTACATGGCTACATGTTCACCATTCAATGCAACAGCAACCTCTAGCTTCCTACACAGCGGGATTTGTACACAGCTACAGATCTGCACAACATGTTCACCGCACTCAGCGACCCACATAACAATCCCATCTCAACCAGCCTCACGGAGTTTACTTTGTTTTTACTGAGAGTTTCACAGCACTTGCAACACCAGCACGCTCACATGACCTTATGCAACTGTGCGCACTGTAAAACTCTTGCCTAACAAAACAAACATATATATTCAACATCAAGTGCCAAATCTGCGACAGACATGGGTGACCAAGCTTCCACATTCATTCCTTCGCTCGGATGCTCTCAAAAGCAGCTACATTATCCTCATCTGTCCACATCATCCACCTGTTTAGGATTTCCAAGTGAGCCCAAAATTATTATTTTTGTTTTTACAGTTTCTTAATCCATGGTACCGGTTGGATGAGCTCGAGAAATTTCCAAGCACATTCAGGTCTGTGAGTAACTCAAAATGAGACAAAAATCTCTGGGAATGTAAAGCGAAAGTAATCATTCAAAGTACCCCCCCC